TTGTGTCATGTCTTGTCAATGTAAGAGCATTTAATGTTTTGTAAAGTTAGGAGAGTCAACTTGAGTGCTAGGATTTGATGTCCTAATCAAGGAGATGAGGCCACGCGTAGGCTGATCCAAAGGTCACCAATTGAGTTGTAACACTATAAATACCCCCACCATGTAACACAAAAGGGGATGATGCAATTCTAAAGAAAAAACTAAATATTGGGAGCAACCTTTCTCTCATTTCAACAGTGATCCCTATAATATATTTTCTACTACAAATCATATTTTGTCGATTGGTTTTTTATACAATCGTGTTACATCTTTCTTGCCGGTGGCCTGAACGGAAACGTCTCGTGCCTTTGAGCCACTCCCACGCCCGTTACTTGGAGCCATCATGACCGTCTATCGGCATTAGCGTGTTGGATCAGGCTTGCGTGTGTATGAGTGGGCCCGGCATCTGTTGGTAACATTTTTTGGGGTCAACAGAATCAATTGGAGTTTGGCATCTTTCTTTTTAAACATATACTTTAATGATGAGTAATCAATATAGCTATTACCCAATAAGATACGACCTAAATTTGTCAAAGGCAAAAACTACCTCCTAGCTTTGACTCGCGATCCGGGTTACGAGCTAGCCAACTCGTGCAAATCAGCCAACTCGGCTAGGGCGAGCTGCTCCCCATTGACACCCTTACTAACATGCAGTAATATACATACATTGAAATATTAATGCTAACTATAAAGTTTCACAAAATACCGAAAGTAATTGGGAACATTTAATGCACCAGTAATTTGGTGGTGGTGAATAGCTGGGGTGGAAAAATATCTACTGCAGTTCATCCCATGTAATCCACAGAAACAGATTGTCATACTCAAATACATAATGCTGGTTTAGAGTGCACCATTTCAAGATTTTGTTGGTTTGTTAACAATTTTTACAGCTAATAGTGTTAAACTGTGTGATTAATAGACGGGTAATATACATTAATTGAAATGTTAACGAATAATGCTAATTAAAAAGTTTCACAAAATACCAGAAGTCATTAGGAACATGTAATGCACCAGAAATTTGGTGGTGATTAAGAGATGGGATGGAAAAATATTTATTAGAATTAATCCCACCGTAGGTTGTTATAGACAAATATATAATGCTGGTTTAGAGTGCATCATTTCAAGATTTTATTCAGGCACAATTAAAATTTTCCCAACACATTGTATTTAATACAATGAGATAATATGGATTCTGAAACCAAAAGTCGTTAGGAACATACAATGCACCAGTAATTTTGTCGTGGTTAATAGATGGGATGGAAAGATATTTAATGCAGCTCATCCCATGTTAATCCATAGGTCATCAGGCACAGATATATAATGCTGGTTTAGAGTCCACCATTTCATGATTTTATTTGTTCGAGTTTTATTCTGTCAAGTCTGCCTTCTTATATTTCTACATCCAGCATTCGACTCGTTCATTGTAGAATGTCACTAGTGGGGTATTTTGAGGTTTGCTTAGCAGTCCTATGGTTTCTTTGTCTTTGGGGTTTTTGGAATTACAACTTGCTTGTTATTAACTGGCCACTGCTCGGTATGCTGCCAACACTTCTGTTTAAAATTGGACAGATTCACGATTATTGCACTGAGGTTTTGAGGAAAACTAAGGACCGTACTTTTAGGTTCATAGGTCCCTGGTTTGTAAACATGGAAATGCTGGCAACTGTTGATCCTGCCAATGTGCACTATATCATGAGTGCCAATTTTCAGAATTTCCCAAAGGGGCCTAAATTTAAAGAATTTTTTGATGTTTTGGGAGACGGGATTTTTAATACGGACGGTGAATCATGGAAGAATCAGAGAAAATCCATGCACACATTGATTAATCATCCGCGTTTTCATCGATTTATGGTGAAAACAATACACGAAAAGGTGGAAAAAGGCCTAATCCCAGTCCTTGAAATTGTATGCAAGAATAGCCAAGTGATTGATTTGCAGGATTTGTTCAAAAGATTAACATTTGATACAACATGCATTTTGGTCACAGGTTATGATCCTGGATGTTTATCAATTGAATTTCCTGATGTTCCATTTTCAAAAGCCATGGATGATGCTGAAGAAGCCATTTTCACGAGACACGTTTTGCCAGAAACCCTATGGACATTTCAAAGGAAAATGGGGTTTGGCTCAGCACAAAAATTGATGAAAGCTTGGGAAGTCTTGGACAGTATCATAGGAAAATACATATCAATGAAAAGGGATGAAATGAAATCAAGAAATGATGAAAATTGTGCTGCTGATTTGCTTTCATCTTACATCAGTACTGAAGAGATTGAGAATCAAAGTTTGAAAAGAGACAATAAGTTCTTGAGGGACACCATACTGAATTTAATGATTGCAGGGCGAGACACGACTAGCTCAGGCCTCACGTGGTTTCTGTGGCTCGCTTCAACCCATCCAGAAGTGGAAAGAAAGATCAGAGACGAGCTCAGGTCAGCTATACCAGTAGAAGAAGCAGAAAAAGGGAGAATTTTTCAAGTTCAAGAACTTGGCAAGCTGGTTTACATGCATGCCGCAATCTGTGAATCCTTAAGGCTGTATCCACCAGTTCCATTTCAGCACAAGGAGCCTCTACAGGCAGACATCCTTCCAAGTGGCCATTTTGTTCATCCAAAAATGAAGGTGATGTTCTCTTTGTATGCAATGGGGAGAATGGAGACAATTTGGGGAAAGGATTGCCTCGAATTCAAGCCCGAGAGGTGGATTTCTGAGCGCGGGACGATCAAGCATGAGCCCTCCTACAAGTTCTTGGCATTCAATGNAGTTGTATTTGTTCATGCTAGGCTGGTTGGAGGCCACAATGCCAAGCTCAACACAAGATGTTATTATAAATTAGAGTGGTACATATACGAGAGCTTTTGCTACTAATTCTTCCATACATATAATTTTATGGATTATGCCATTTTTATAGAAAGGAGTTGACAAATTTGAGTGACATAATGTTAGTTGATAAGATGTGATTGAATGAAAAAGTTAACCATGCTCAAAAGAGTCCAATGATGAAGTGCAATGTGACATTATATCAATCGTTATGTTAAAAATTATGTTATAGCATGATTCTCATTTTATATAATGTAAAGGGTGATTTCGAGTTTGACTCCTCAACCTTCAACTACGAGATTTCAAGTTTGACTCCTCAATCTACTTAACGTTGTAATATTACATCTCTACGTGATCGAAATTGACAGTAGAAAAATTGAAATCACAAGTGATATTTATTTATATAAAATTAAGAAAATATTAAGTAATTTGAAGGTCTTGTCCTCCAACTTCATTTTGGGTTGTTTAACAAAGCTTTTGATAAAATTTAACAAATTTTGGTAAAAATTGTTGAAATATATGATTAAAAGATTGATAAAATTTGTGAATCTTATAAATTATGTGATTAAAATTAATTGTTGATTTTAATTTTTTAAACTTTCCCAAGCAAAAACTTGTGTGAAAGTCGCTTTTCATTTTAACATTTATATTGTCAATTTCCACAATATTACAACATTAAATAAATTGGAAAATAAAAAAAAATCCCACTTTTGAACAATGGGACCTGTTCTATCATCTATGTAAATTTAAAGAATTAAAGTAATTGTATAGATGAAATGTACAAGCATTGCATATGATGAGGTGTCAATACTGCATTGACTAGTTTAACTTCGTGTATTGTCTAACATTCAATAAAATCTTGCTAGATAGAAATCTGTCAAAAAATTGTCAAATAATTCTATACATGTAGCATCGTTGAAATTTAGTCCATGTTTGACAACCATTATTATGAAATAACAAAATTTTAAATAGTAATATTTAGAAGAATGTGTGGTAAAAGGTAGATTTTTTTTTTTTTTTGAATTTACATGCAAAATATTTTAGGAAAAATTGCAGCAGCGGTCCCTAACCTTTTCAAATTTTTTTAAAAATTTATTATAACCTTCAATTTTTGTCAGCAAAGGTCCCTAATCTTATGCATCTGAAGTCCAAATTGATGGAAATCATCCAGTTGACTGTTAGTTGACCAAAATATTTGATTTTGACCCAATTTGACAAGGGCATTTATGTCAATCACATATTAAAGCTTTTAAAAATCAAATTAAGCTAAAAACAATATTAAAAAAAGGAGAATAAATAAGAATAAAAATAAAAAAATCATCTTCTTCCACATCTTACCCACATTCACTCCCCACACACAACACCTACTCCAAACCAAAACCCAGGAAATAATTACCTAATCATCGAGTTGCTATCGCCGACCACCACTTGCCACCATCACCCATCGCTGACCACCTCTGCAAACCAAAACCAATTTGAAAACCACAATCTTAAAAAACCGGCAGCCTCATCTCTCATCTTAGTCGGGATTGTAATAGTTTGACCACTTTCGAGAGACAATATGTTCTAACTTCTTATTGGAGTTGATGGACCCGAGCATATATGGCTTTTTGATACCGGAGTGGAGGCTCTCTTGTGAGTGACTGTTCTCGAGCGCTCTTGACTTGATATCGGAGTCATTTCCGTCCCTATATCCCTATGCACATAGAGCACAAACCCAATGCAGAACTTGTTAAGAATTGGGGTTCCATCTTAAAAGGTCGACTTTATTAAAAGGAATAGCCCAAGATTTTTATTAATTGGTTTGTGTCAACATCATCTATCGATGTGGGATATATATCCCTAACACGTCCCCGCAAGATGGTGGCTCATTTTAGCAATCCAATCTTGAAATCCACGTACTCATTTTAGAGTCTTAACGAGATCGAATAGCTCGTTGGAGCATAACCTAGCTCTGATACCATATTAAGAATTGTGATTCCATCTTAAAAGGTCAACCTTGTTAAGAGGAGTAGCCCAAAATCTTTATTAATTGGTATGTGTCAACATCATTTATCGATGTGGGATATATATTCCTTAACAGTGTGTGATAGGACTGTGATTAGAAATTGTTACTTTATCTCTAACATGGACTGCAATAGCAAAATTGAGACGTAGACATAGATTTGACAGTGAATCTATCACTTGATGAGCAAGAGCAGCTTGCAAGACACGAATTACTCCTAATGGAACAATGTCCCTGAAAAAAAGGACATCAACCTCAACATGCTTCATCTAGGAGTGAAATAGAGGATTAAAGCAAAGATAAGTTGTACTGACGTTAACATAGTAGATAGTTGGAGTAGAATTTGTAGGTCTCCAAGTTCTTGAAGCTGTACTTTAGTCCAAAGAACCTCACAAGCAGTTGATGCAACACCCTGCATTGAGCCTCGTTGGAAGACCGAGCCACAATTCATTGCTTTCTAGACAATCAAGAAATGAAGTTATGACTAAGAAATACAACATAAAAACTGTGGACATGCAATCATCAGCATTCCCAATCCAATCAGAATTTGAGGCAGTACGAAGAAAAAGAAGACCATAATGAAGAGTACTGTAAAGGTAGTACCATTAGCATTTAACGAACATCCAATGTTGGGTGGTAGAGTTGTACATGAACTAAGAACTAAGAAAGCTTGTTAAGAGAATAGGCAATGTTGGGTCTTGTAAGCATGAGATACTGTAAACTGCCAAGTATTTGACGATATTTGGCGATATACAATTGCACCATGTAGACAAGTACCATCATTCAAGAAAAGCCAGGTACTAGTAAACATTGGTGTATGTACAATTCAAACTGAAGCATACTAGTCCAGCAAAGGAGATCAAGTAGATAATGGTGTTGAGACAAGTACCATCATTCAAGAAATTTGTTTTACAATACTATGAACTTTAAAAAAAAATAAAAAAATAAAATGACAAGCTAAAATATGTTTATTATACTATCAAATACTATGAAATAAGATGCCCTACAAGTAATAAACCTTAAATTTTTGTAATGGCCCTTGTAAGATGAACACGTGAATGGCGGACCTCAACCTTGCCAAAGGCAGGCAACACCATGCCATGCATGTACATTACTATTTTATTCAGTCTTGCTTATGCACTGTACTTTACTATTTGTCCATGACATTGAATGTGCAAATGTTTTTTTTTTCAAAGACTAATGTCAAAAAAAATTGAGGAAAAAGCAAGAATTGGACAAAACATTTGCATAAACATTTGAAAATATGTCCTCATTGAAAACAAAAATACATTAAGCACACAATATTGAATCCATTAAAGCAAGCTAGAGGAAAAGTTTCAACGGATACTAACTCTTTTAATCAAGAGAATGCTCGGAGACAACTTGGAAATATGATAGTTTTGCATGATTATTGTTTACGAAAATATATCTCGAATAAAACTATCGCAAGTGCACGGTTCGTGACAAGTAATAAAGTGGAATCTAGAGTTCCGAATATCGTCCCAATGGATTGATTTAGTTCAATTTCACTATCTTGACCTTAACCGAACAAGAACATATCACGTTTATGTTGTGGTGGAAATTTTGATTAAACTAATTTACGAATGTGATTATGATTAAACTAAATGAACTAAAATGCAAAACAATGCTTGAAAATAAGTTGTTAAATTTAATGAATGAAAGGCGCACTAGGATTACGAATTCCCGTGCAATGATCTCTTTTAATCCTAATTCTACAAATTGACAACACGGTTGAAGTTTTGAAAAATTAATATTCCTATTCTATCCAACAATCTCTCTCGAGTAATGTTAAACCTACTTTCACATATGATCCGAATATATTCCTATGACGAATGCAAATATATAAGAATGCATGAATTTTTGTAAACACTTAGAGATTCACGTAAGGCATAACTGTATATCTATATCCCCTATCGGACCCTACGATGATTTATATCTTGTTGAGCCTATTTCCTTCCTCTCGAATGCATGAAGTATGCCACCAGATTCACACAATCATTTGCGTACATAATTGTGGAGAAAAATAATTGTATATAAATCATTCAAATTTAAACAACGTGTTTTAATGTCAAAATTATAAAATCGGGAATTAAAAAATCACATCACAAGGTTCATTGTTCTCCTAGTATAGAAATATCTAGCCTAATATGGAGAAAAAAAAAACACACAAATAATTGAAAAACGGCATCACCGAATTAATATTCTGCTTGAAATCAAGTCAATCTCGTGTTTTTCTTCGTCTTCTTGGCTCAAAATATTCTTCAATGTGTGTTCTAGGGTTGTTCTCTCAGTTAGAATGCCTCTCCCCTTCGTTGTTGATGGCTCTTAGCTTATATATTCATCCGAAAATTCGTTTCCTTAAGTGTTTGAACGAAATAAGGAAATCAGAATTTTGCCTCGAAAAAACAACCATGCAACCGCATGATTATGAGCCATGCGACCGCATGGTTCAAATAAAAGAGGGTCATGCTGTCCCTATTAGCATGTATGCGACCGCATGGAAGAGAACTCAAAAGATACATCCTTAACTAGTAAATTGTAGAGGGGCTTTGTAATCTGTGTAAAATCTTTGATGAAGTGTCGATAGAATCCGACGTACCTAAGAAAATTGCGAACTCCCTTAACTATTGTAGGCAGAGGTAGTTTCTCAATAACTTGGATTTTTGCTTTATCAACTTCGATCCCCATAGCTAAAATGCGATGTTCTAATACTATGCCCTCTTACACAATAAAATGACATTTCTCCTAGCTCAATACCAAGTTTGTCTCCTTGCACCACTGTAGGACCAAGCTCAGATGCTCTAAACATTCATCAAAGGACGAACCGAACACAGAGAAATCATCCATGAAGATCTCTATGAATTTCCCCACCATATCAGAAAATATAGCCATCATGCATCTCTGAAACGTAGCTGGAGCATTACATAAACCGAAAGGCATCCTCCGATAAGCAAAAGTGCCATAAGGACATGTGATCATCCATGAAGATCTCTATGAATTTCTCCACCATATCGGAGAAGATGGCCATCATGCACCACTGAAAGGTGGCGTGAGCATTGCATAGACCAAACGTCATCCTAAGGTAGGCAAAGGTTCTGTAGGGACAAGTGAATGTAGTTTTCTCGTGGTCATTCGGTACTATTGGAATCTGATTATATCCTAAATAACCGTCGATGAAGCAGTAATGTGAATGACCAGCCAACATTTCCAACACCTGATCAATGAAAGGGAGTGGAAAGTGATCCTTTTGAGTAATAGTATTAAGTTTGCAGTAGTCGATGCAAACTCTCCATCCCATAACAGTCCTAGTGGGTATCAATTCATTCTTTTCGTTCTCAACCACTGTAATGCCCCCTTTTTTGGTATGACCTGAACTGGACTGACCCAAGCACTGTCTGAGATAGAATAAATTATTCCGACATCCAAGAGTTTAATCACCTCTGCTCTAACTACTTCCTTCATATTAGGGTTAAGTCTTCACTGCCCATCACTGCTCAGTTTGAAGTTTTCTTCCATGAGAATCTTGTACATGCAAAGTGAAGGGTTGATCCCTTTTATATCGGTAAAAGACCACCCAATTGCTGTCCGATTTTCTCTTAGCACTCTAAGCTATTTTTCTTCTTCCATCTTGCTGATTGAGTTTGAAATAATGACCGGAAGTGTCGATGATTCCCCTAAGTAAGCATAACGAATATGGGATGATAGTTGTTTGAGCTCTAACTTCAGTGGTTGCTAAATTGATGGCTTCGATTTTGATGGACCGATTCTCAGCTCCTCAAAATTCCTCTTTTGTACATACATCGGATTTGTTTCCAAAAATCTTGCACAAACCTCAATCTCTGTAGAGTCGATGTGAATGGATTGAGAATGCATGAACAAGCTTCATAAGTGTTAGATAGATGTTGTAATTAAAAGGTGTCATGAATTGCACTATCAACCACGTCGATTTGAAAACAGCTATCTGACTCTGCATGATATTTTATAGCCTTGAAAACATTGAAACAAGCATGTTCCTCCCCTAATCTCAGAATCAACTGACCTCGCTATACATCTATCAGAGCTTTCCCTATAACCAGAAATGGTCGACCCAATATGAGTGGCACATCATTTTCCTCTTCCATGTCCAGAATGAGGAAATCTGCAAGACATATGAGCTTCTCAAATTTTACCAAAACATCTTCGATGATTCCGCATGGATGAGTAAGTAATCGATCGGCTAGCTGCAGAGTCATATGGTTGGTTTAGCTTTTCCCAATCCAAATTTTTCGAAAACAGAAGTGGAATGAGATTAATACTGCACCCAAATCACATAAAGCTTTATCAAAGTAACAATTTCCAATAGTGCAGGGTACAGTAAAACTCCCTTGATCTTTTAGTTTTGGAGGAAGCTTTTTCTAAATTCTCACACGACTTTCCTCTGTCAACATTATCGTTTCGCATTCATCCAGCTTACGTTTGTTGGATAGGATGTCCTTTAAAAATTTGGCATAGCTAGGTATCTGAGTGAGTGCCTCAGCCAACGGGATATTGATGTGAAACTTTTTGAAAACCTCCAAAAATTTCATTTATTGTTGATCCATCTTCTACTTTTTTAACCTCTGGGAAAATGGAATTGGGGGGTCTATATGGATTTGTGGGTATGGTTGCTTTAGCCCATGGTATATCGGAAGTCTCTTTTGTAGATGTTTCCCTAGGTTGCTCAGTCTGCTCCTCATGATCTTCATCAGAAGGCTATCATTTTTTTTTATTTGCACCGGGTCTCTTCACATGTATATCAGGTAATTGGACCTCGCTTCTTGTAGTAATGGATTGGACATGTTCTTTGGGATTCACTTCAATGTTACTCGACAGTGTACCTGGAGCTCTTCGTGTCATAGAAAGTGCTAATTGCCCCACCTGTGTCTCCAAGTTCTTAATTGTAGCCCCCTGATTATGGAGAGTGTTTCTGTCTTCCTCATAAATTGATTGTTTATTCCCTCGTACTTGTCAATTTTCTCCATTAATTTGGCAAACATCACTTCCAACTGGGGTTTCTTCTCCTGCTGATACTGCCCATGAGGCCTATTGTGAATTTGATTTTGATTTCCTCCCCAAGAGAAATTTGGATGATTTCGCCACCCAGGATTGTAAGTGTCAGAATGTGGGTTAATTTGCTGACGTTGTCCCCATTGCGCGTATTCCACCTGTTCCATTCCCTGTGAAATAATTGCGCACTTAGCTGTGCCGTGTTCCGCCTTACACTCTTCATAATTTGGCTTTCTTGCTTGTGTTGCACTTGTAGGTTGTGATATATTCTCCACTTTGTAAAATATGGAATCAATTTTAACAGATAAAGCTAAGTAGGTGTCGACCTCGTAGATTCCGGCTGACTTTTTTGTACCCACACGCTCTAAAGACCACATAGCTAAAGTGTTAGCCATTCTCTCAAATAATTCCCACGCTCCATCAATAGTTCTTGTGATTATGGAGCCATTTGATGATAAATCCACCATGCTCCTGAAAGAAGGAAGCAATCCCGTATAGAAAAATCCGATTTGGGTCTTCTTGTGGAACCCATGTTGAGGACATTTTCGTAACATGTTTGCTTTACCCATTCCAAGCCTCATCAAATGACTTAGACTCACCCTGACTGAAGATTGATATTTCGTACCTCATTCCTGGTACTTTGGTTGGTGAGAATAACTTCGTGCAAAATTTGTGTGCCAGATCGTTCCAAGTAGTTATACTCGTTACAGGAAGTGAATCGAACCATTCGAGTGCCTTATCCCGTAGAGTATGTGGGAACAACCTCAGCCTGATAGCATCTTCTGATATTCCTTGGCACCTGAAGTGTTGACACATATCCAAGAACTGAGATATAAGTGAGTGCGGATTCTCATTAGCCAACCCGTAGAACTGATGTCCATTTTGTAAAAGTTAGATGGCATTAGTTTTCAGCTAGAAGTTTAGCAGTTCGAATGGGGGGTACACAATACTGTATTCACTTTGAATGACTAACGGTGAAAAAAAATCCCCAAGTAAGGTGTTTGTCATCTTCTTCCTCTACATTGGCTGAAATTGCGGGGATTCCTTATTGGATCAATTGTTGATTAGCTATTCGTATTCGTTCTTGGTTTTTGAGCTGTAGTGCTCTAGCTTCCATTTGCCTGTGGTGAAAGGTTCATTCAATTTTCAAATCAGCTGTAAGCAGCTCACCGCCAGCGACATTCGCATACAAGACCTGAAGGAATGTCAACAGTTGCACTTAGATCAACCTAAGTAGAAAGATTAAATTAAATAAAATATGTAAAAATTAAAGATAAGTTCGAATTAGTGTTAAAGTAAACAAAATTAAACTAAAACTTAATCCTCAACAGCGGCGCCAAAAACTTGTTTACGAAAATATATTTCGAATAAAACTACCGCAAGTGCATGGTTCGTGACAAGTAATAAAGTGGAATCTAGAGTTCCAAATATCGTCCCAATGGATTGATTTAGTTCAATTTCACTATCTTGACCTTAATCGAAACAAGAAAATATCACGTTTATGTTGTGGTGGAAATTTTGATTAAACTAATTTACGAATGTGATTATGATTAAACTAAATGAACTAAAATGCAAAACAATGCTTGAAAATAATTTGTTAAATTTAATGAATGAAAGGTGCATTAGGATCACGAATTCCCGTGCAATGATCTCTTTTAATCCTAATTCTACAAATTGACAACATGGTTGAAGTTTTGAAGAATCGATATTCCTATTCTATCCAATAATCTCTCTCGAGTAATATTAAACCTACTCTCACATAAGATCCGACTATATTCCTATGACGAATGCAAATATATAAGAATGCATGGATTTATGTGAACACTTAGAGATTCACGTAAGGCATAACTGTATATCTATATCCACTATCGGACCCTACGATGATTTATATCTCGCTGAGCCTATTTCCTTCCTCTCGAATGTATGAAATATGCCATCAGATTCACACAATTATTTGCGCACATAATTGTGGAGAAAACTAATTGTCTATAAATCATTCAATCTCAAACGTGTTTGTAAAAAATGTAACACGGGAATTAAAAGATTACATCACATTCGCACATAATTGTGGAGAAAATTAATTGTATATAAACCATTCAAATTTAAACGTGTTTTAATGTCAAAATTATAAAATTAGGAATTAAAAATCACATCACAAGGTTTATCGTTCTCCTAGTACAGCAATATCTAGTCTAACATGGACAGAAAAAACAAAACACACAAATAATTGAAGAAACGATATCATCGAATTAATATTTTGCTTGAAATCCCGCTAATCTTGTGTTTTTCTTCGTCTTCTAGGCTCAAAATATTCTTCAATGTGTGTTCTAGGGTTGTTTTCTCAGTTAGAATGCCTCCCCCCTTCGTTTTTGATGGCTCTCAACTTATATATTTATCCCAAGATTCGTTTCCTTAAGTGTTTGAACAAATAAGGAAACCAGAATTTCACCTCGAAAAAACAACCATGCAGCCGAATGGTTATGAGCGATGAGACTGCATGGTTCAACCAAAAGAGGCTCCTGCTGTCCATATTAGCATGTGTGAGACCGCATGGTAGAGACAATCTTCCATGTGTGTCGTTTTAGTCCTCGATCTTATTTTCTCTCATTTTAACCTCTTTTTTTTCATTCTCCTTCTTCTAACATCTCTTGTAGTAATCAAAGTAGGACATGGCTCATATACATTGTCAAGTCGTGCTTTGGGTCATCTTTCGGCTGTTTGCATTTTGGTTCCCGAACTTTCATTTTCTTTCGTTTTGGTCCTTTTTCAAATCTTTTCTCATTGAGTTCACCGCATCCGTCAATATAGTACTACAAAATGAAATAGCGCAGAATTAAGCCATATTCAAACACTTTTGCCAACAATAATTCATGTTCTGTGGCAAAATAAGTGTTGGAAAACGCACTTATCAATTATCCTCTTTCAATGGTTGAAACACATTGAATTTAGAAGATTGAAAAATGCTATGTAGTCATTATTTAAGATTGTTTCTCATAACACAATAAAGAATGACATTATGTTTACGAGAAATTGAAATTAATGAGCTTATTGGAGAGGAACAATAACAATCACTACAGATATGTGGAGTTCTAATCAGAAGAATTGATTTATGTCTTTCACGGTGCATTTTATAGATGATTCTTGAAAAATTCAAAGTCAAACTATGAGGTGCTATGATCTTGTAGAAACTAATTTAGCTATTTTGTACTTCTTACACTTAATTTATTATAATTATGTTGTTTCATTTTTACTATAGGTTCATATATGAGCCACGTCTGCACACGTGTGTGGCATTGAATATATCGTTGATGGATTACTTATTAAATTTAAATATCGATTGTAAGTTGTCCACTTTGACTGTCGATAATTGTACAACAAATGATGCCATGATCAATATTCTTTTAGATAAGCTTTTCGATAGTTCACTTTTGCTAAATGGTGAATTTTTCCATATGAGTTGTTGTGTACATATATTGAATTTGATAGTTAAAGACGGTTTTGAGAACCTTAACTCTAAGTGTTGAGAAAATTAATAATAGGATTGCATATTGTAAAGCAACCCAAAATTAATGACAACTCCTTTAAATTTCAATATATCGAGCCTAATTTATTCGAATTAACTTTTTTCTCGAGTCCATGATAATATAAACTCAAAAAAAAAATAAAAATAAAAAATCCAATATTGATATACTAATTCTCCCTCTATCAATATTTAATTATATGGATCAATTAAAAATTGAACTATATTTATTTCACTTTAATCCCTCAACTTTTCAGAATTATTAAAAGGCATCATAGACACTTAAACATTGCATATTATAAAGAATAATATGCAACTATAGAATAACCTCAGAGAAAGCGTAGTGTGAGGGAGTATCCATTTAAAAATTCCGAATGTTCAAATTTGGAACTTGAACGAAAAGCTATTGCATGCCAATAATTATACATTTCCATTTTGGTAACCAATTTCTCCAATTTGATAGCGTGATGGTAGATTACTAAGTTCCAATTTTTAATCATGAAAATCATTTGGAAAAATTGGTATTGGTTTTTTTTTTTTTAAGTGTTCAAACAAATTACAAAATAATAAGCTTTCTATAAACAAATTACGGATTTGTATATTCTTTAAATTGATGGTTGTGAAAATTTAACCATGCTATTATTGTCATCATTTTTCTTTATGATATATCTATAAATCTTAGATTATTTAGTTTGAACATCCAGTTCAACTCTAATTGAATTATTCGTTTAAAAAGTTATTTTTAAGATGAAACTTTAAGTTTCAATATTGTATCAAAATCAACAAACTCAAATGAACAATTTAATTCATCTAAAGTTTAAATGAGCAATAATAGATTGATTTTCCCAAATGAGTCACCTTCTGAAAACATAAATGGCTCTTTTTAACATAAAAAATCTTCTTCTGTTGTAAATGATAAGTTTATTAATGAACAACAATTGTATTCCTACAGCTCTAGAAATTATTACCATTGCATTCCTAATCATTCCTTATAAATATGGGGCTTTGATTCTCTCAAAAATCAAAGTGAATTTGTTAGAATGCAATAATTTTTTTCCAAAGTGTACCAAATTTAATTTGGTGACGTGTGAATTTTTTTCATCATTTCATGTTTGTAATTGGTTTCTTTAATTGAGTAAAAATTCATGTTGTAATTTTTAAATCCAACGAAGTTACATGGGTCTTTGTGTAGAAAATATAATCACGACTGACTGACTTATGTTAGTATTTGCATGGAAGTGTGCTGTGTGTACAGAAAATAATTCCACAGATACCGGCCAGAATACATTCTGTACAAATGGGTTTCTCCATTTGCATGTCACATATCCTCTCTTTTGTTTTCCCAATATCCAAAGTTTGAACATTGATGCCTACAAATGGAAGTGACTCTCCAACCGTTGTAGTGCACGTCCTCCTCCTCATCGGATGATATTACAATGGGGAACTCCGGAGCCGAGCCGGGCATCGGCGTCGGGTCGTTCAATAGCTCGGGATCGTTGCTCGTAGTGGACGAAGCCATATGTTCAAATTTTCACGTGTAGAGACTCAGTGTGTAACAATTGATTTTGCATGTGAGGATTTCTAGTATGATAAATGGACAGACTATTTATAAAGGGCTGTGTGTGGGAACATTTATGATTTCAATATCAAAATTAAATGTGCAGGATCATTGGTGTGATGGTTAGTGTGATGGAAGACTACAGTGGATGATCTTCAATTTATAATTCTCCCACATTTACTTAGCTGCTGCTGACCGACAGAACAAACAACTCTGCAGGCCCTCTTTCTCTTTCTTACTTTTCCCTCATGTTCAGCTCCACCCTATCAGAACGTAACTTGTTAATGTTGAATAAGTGCACTAGCACTTGTACATGCATGATACAAAAAGAATGAATAAGCACTTAAACTTTCTAAAATAGGGGGTTTTTAATTTTTTCGTGCGCGTTTAACAACATTATATCACTAAAGTAAAGAGTTATGAAAAAGTCCTGCCCCTTGACCCGTTAAGAAACACATTAGAATTTTGATTAATGGTGTGAAAATGTTCGAGCTTGCGTTGAATTGAATTAATCTGAGAATCTAAGCATTTTTTCCTTTTTTTTCTTCCTGAAAATTTCTTACATATTTATATGTTTTAAGAGTTAAACTTTACACTAAGATCTACCACAATCAAATAGTTTCTTATATGGCATTATTATAGGTAGGAAAACCATTATAACACTGGGGGTTTGAATTGGGAAAAAAAATAAAAAATGAACACGATGAGTTTTCTTTTATGTTGAAGTTTGATCCAAATTCCATTGAGTATTTGTGAATTAGTTGAAATGGGCATTGAAGAGGCCAAAATGTGGACCAAAAAGTGATTTAGTTGCATTCCCCGTTATCTGCATGCCAGGCTCGCACTCGAGCTGGCAAAATAGGGAGTTGGCGCCCGCTCACGAAATTGAAAGAAATCACAAAAACTAACAATTGTACTATTAGCCAGCTAGGTGAAAAAGTTTCTGTCTTAGTATGATACTCACGAGTCAAATTGTGGCATTTGGACAAACCACATTGCATCATAATGCCCTCGTGTATTTTCTTATCATTTGAATGCGTATCGAACTTTCCATTTCATTTTTCTCTTCAATTTCAAATCTACTAATTTTTTAAGAACGTAATCAATTGATGAATTGGCCAGTTAATGGGGGACACTAGGTCTGGTGTACAAAGAGAGTGACGTGCATATTATGTAAATCTTGACGTAACTCTTAGCCCCTGTTTGGTTTGGATTAAAACTTTAAGTCAAAGTCAATAATTAATTTTAATCATACATCGAGATTGAAGATTTCTCGACAATAGTAGAGAGGGAAACAATTTCGGGAAAGTCTTTACAAGCCCCAAGATTTACCATTTTATTGCATTTTTCATCCCTTCGTTAATCATTTCGAACCATAATGGCCGTGTCCATCTGCGCCAGGGCTTTTCCATCCTTCGAATGCCATTCAGGTCCGGATTTCTCCCGTCCTGAGATCCCTTCCCATGGCAAAAAAATCAATTATTTTAGCGGCGGCGGGGTACGGCCTTTCTTCTCTGATCTTCAGATTCCCGCCGAACTTCATGCGGCAGCTGAGCAACAAGGCTAGAAGGATGTGTAGCAACATCGGTGTGGCTCAAGTGGCGGCAGCTTCGTGGTCGAATAACCAGCAGACATCAGGACTCACGCCGGTGGCTAAGGCCGTCGATGCAGCCGCCATGGCGCCAGTTTATTAGGTGTCTTAAACGATTTTTTAGAGGTTATATATTTATTAATATCATCTAATCGAAGGATAACTGGATAAGTGCATAAGATATAAGATATAGACCACAGATTATCTCTTTTCTTTTCTTTTCTTTTTTTTTTTTTTTTGTTACATATAATACATACCATTTTCCAAAGAAAAGCAAAACTGAAAATTTAGGGTTTACTCATAAAATCCTAAATTCTTTAACTATTCATTTCAGAGACGTAGAACACTATATAAAATACACTTACAACGTAGAGGAAGAAAAGCATGAGTGAAATATTATTAGTGACAAGAAATCCAGCCTTGTCAAAACTGAAAATACTTTTGTCTCTGAATCTCCAGCTTCAAAACCAAAACCCAGCAACATGGTTTCACAGCACAAGCCACCATTTCTACTGTAAATTGTTGATTACGTACCTTGGAAGTATGTCTCTTTGTTCAATAGAGAAGTATCCAAACGACCACATCCACAGAATGTTGAAGAACCGGCGGATATGTCTCATGAAAACGTGTTCCTCTCTTTGGTAAACCCAGTATAGAAATTCACCAGCCGATATCAATGCACACAGCACATACAGAACAGGCCTAATGGAGTCCGGGAAGAAGATCGATGCCAGTGATGCCACTGCAGTATTGCCGAAGCACACCATACAATGGAAAGGGTATGTTGGCGGGTTATCGTGCGTATCAAGCCTCAAATTTGCTCCATATGCCACAATAATATACCTCAACTGATCGATGCCAGTGATGCCACTGCCATATTGCCGAAGAACACCATACAATGGAAAGGGTATGTTGGCTGGTTATCGTGCATATCAAATCTCAAATTTGCTCCATATGCCAGAATAATATACATCAACGAACTAAAAATTGCCATATGCATCGTTTTGGAGTGAGTTATGAATGGATTTTTGTCTATTCCCTGATACTTAAGCTGCAAGAAAGCAAGCAATGCAGGAATAATGAACTCAACGCTTTTACCTTTAGAAGTCATTATAAATCCTCTATGAAAGATATACAAAATGTGGGATCTCATAAAAACGTCTGTGGCACCACAAAATTGTGCCGAGGTGAAGTTGACAGAAGGGATTTCCATTGTAGTACGCGCCATCGGATCTTTGTAAAAAATTGTTTGTGAGAGTGAGAATGGAAGAGTTTTTTTATGGTTTAGGACCTTTAGGTGTTGTGTGGAATAATGGTGACCAAATGGGCGCATACATTGCACGCGTTTTGGCGTTTTGAAAAGTTTTCGTTTATATCTTGTCTTTTTAGTTTGTTGTACAAAATCATTCTGCTTTAATGGAGTCTCACATGACTCGCCATGTAAAAAATTGTTTGTGAGAGTGAGAATGGAAGAGTTTTTTTATGGTTTAGGACCTTTAGGTGTTGTGTGGAATAATGGGGACCAAATGGGCATACATTGCACGCGTTTTGGCGTTTTGAAAAGTTTTCGTTTATATCTTGTCTTTTTAGTTTGTTGTACAAAATCATTCTGCTTTAATGGTGTTACATCTCAATTTTTAGTCAAAAGTCAATGGTTGAATTGACAAGGTCAAGGTCAATATGGACTTAATTGGAATAATTTATTATTCTTGGGGCTTATGTTATATTTAAGATAATTGAGGGTTTCGGTGGTTTAAATTGGAAGTTGAAGACTTACTTATATTATCTTGGAAAGTGGAGGGACTTCTTTTGCAATAATCATATAACTTAACCATTTTAAAACCCAATTCCCATTTCCATCTTCCCAGCACGCAGAGAGGAGAGAAAAAACCGAGAAAAGAGAAGAAAAAAGGGAAAAGAAGAAGGAAAAGAAAGGGAAAAAAGATGAAGAAAAAGATGAAGGAAGGAGAAGAAGGGGACAAATCATGATTTTTAGTTCAAGTTTCCTTGGTGGTTAGCTTCCATTTACATTTAAGGTAAGAAATGTTATTTTTGGGCAAACCCTAAATTTTCTATTGGATGCTTGTATAAGTATTGTTAGTGGGAATTGTAGTGGTGATATAATACTTACAAGAAAGCATGATTTTATGGAACAATATGTATGTTTAATTGGTTGGATGTTAATTATTAGTTGTTATTAGATTGAAGGAGATATTTGTAGTTAATCTTAGAATGAAGGTTATGTTGATTTATTGGGTATTAGTAAATGGACTAGAAAATGAAATTGGTCCCATTTGATTAAA